CCCCGTGTAGCTCGCTAACATACCGTGTTATACCGTGCGTAGCTCGCTAACATACCGTGTTATCCCCCGTGTAGCTCGCTAACATACCGTGTTATACCGTGCGTAGCTCGCTAACATACCGTGTTATCCCCCGTGTAGCTCGCTAACATACCGTGTTATACCGTGCGTAGCTCGCTAACATACCGTGTTATCCCCCGTGTAGCTCGCTAACATACCGTGTTATACCGTGCGTAGCTCGCTAACATACCGTGTTATACCGTGCGTAGCTCGCTAACATACCTTGTTATCCCCCGTGTAGCTCGCTAACATACCGTGTCATCCCCCGTGTAGCTCGCTAACATACCGTGTCATCCCCCGTGTAGCTCGCTAACATACCGTGTTATCCCACGTGTAGCTCGCTAACATACCGTGTTATCCCACGTGTAGCTCGCTAACATACCGTGTTCTCCCATGTGTAGCTCGCTAACATACCGTGTTATCCCACGTGTGGCTGGCTAATGTACCGTGTTATCCCACGTGTAGCTCGCTAACATACCGTGTTATCCCACGTGTAGCTGGCTAACATACCGTGTTATCCCACGTGTAGCTGGCTAATATACCATGTTATTCAAGTTGCAACTCATTAATATACCATATCATCCGTTAATATACTATCATCCAATATGTACAGTATGACCAGAAATTATTGAGAATTTTAGGAATATGTTTAATTGGATTTCTAGTATAAACAACCTTGACCAGCTATCAAGTGCTTGGTTTCATTCTAGAGAGACAACTCGTTAATCCTTTTTCATCAGTTTGTGAAGAGTTATCCCCCTTTGTTTACTTGCTAGCAGACGACATTTTCAGTGATCCTCAGTATGGATGATTTAGAGAAGAGGAAGTTGATTTTAGAGTATTATAACAAGGACATCAGATCAGCTAAAGTGATTTCAAGTAGAACAGGCATCCCTTTGTCCGCTGTTTATCGTGTTTTGAAAAATATTGCAAATGGATATGGCATTGAGCACCAGGGAGGCGCGGGTAGGCTCAGAAAATTGACTGTCGGTGACAGGAGGCGGCTTGGTATTCTTGTTTCTAAAAACAAAACGAAGGAGTTTAGAAAACTTAAGGCTGGATATGATTGATAGAGGAACTGTGGCTGTCTGTAAGGAGACAATTAGAACTGAGCTGCATGCAATGGGTTGGCAGAAAAGTCGAGGAATTCCATCACCGATCATGAAACCTGAACAAAAGGAGCGAAGGTTGAACTGGTGCTTACAGCATAGAAATTTTAACTGGGACAATGTGATTTTCTCAGATGAAAGTTCTGTGTGGCTGTTTCCTAATACACTGAAATTCTGGACCAAACAAACTGAAAAACCTTTGTATCAGCGCCCAAAGTACAGTCCGAAATTTAACGTGTGGGGTGGCATATCTGTGTTAGGGGCAACACCCCTCTGTGTATTTGAAGGGAATATGAACAGTGAGCGGTACACAGATATTCTCGAGGGACATTTACTTCCATCTGCTAACGTGTTCTATGGAAATTGTTGGATTTTCCAGCAGGACAACGACCCAAAACATCGTTCAAAGCATTCACAGGCGTGGTTTCGGACCCAAAATATGACATTATTAGATTGGCCAAGCTATAGCCCTGACCTAAATCCAATAGAAAATATTTGGGGACTTATGAAGGAAAGTGTCAATAAAAAATCTGACAAATATTGCTGAAATGGTCCGATATTGGGACAGCATGGACCACGACTTTCTAACTTCTTTGATCAGTAGTATGCCCCGCTGCATTGAAGCCTGCATTGCTGCCCATGGTGACTTGACAAAATACTAACTGTTCACCTGTCTTTGAATCTGGAGTTATGTTTTGCTAATATTCACATTAAATACGTGAGTAATGCGTGAAAAAATTTAAAAAATTACAATCATTAAATTCTCAATAATTTCTGGTTGTACTGTAGCTCGCATATATACCATCAGAGACCATATAATAGATATCGTCTCTGATACCATGCCATCCCACGAGGAGCTCATGCATATACCGCATTTTTATATAATTCCACCTAATACACTGAGCAGTAAGTGGCTAGTTAGATATTGTATCACCCATTGTGTAGCTTGTTAATTTGTTTACGTGTTTCGTATTGATGATTTTTAAGTCCAGGACACACTCTGAAAGTCTGTTCCAATACGCCGTGTCTACATCTGCGTCCCCTCGGGCGACTCTGTCCGACATCCCTGTCTGTTCAGACAGATGCCTCTAGCCCCATCTGGCTAACTATCCGTCCTCCACTAGTGAGAGACTACCCCTAAAGTAGAACAACGCCCCCCCCCCCTCCCACGATAACACACATGGCGGAGATGAATACAGGCCAGTGTTCTACAACAGAGCATTGAGGAAATACTGACGGGATAAAAATCAATTTTGAAGCCGGTCTTAGATGACACTAATTCCCAGATCAAAGACACAAAAGACGAGATGAGGAAAAAGAATGGCCCTTGTGGAACTGACGGACACAACTGGAACGACATAAACAACAGCGTCTGTTGCAGCCACGTCGTCGTTAACACTGATTACCGCCACCTACATACAGCCCGGGCGTGTTACACAAACATGCTCTGATCGTTCTCAGTCTGGCGTTCAGTTCGTCAAGTGATTAAATGGTTCACGAAAGACGTGCCAAGATGGCCGGTTTACGACAGACGTAAATGTCGTAGGTACTTCTCCTGAATATGTCATTCAATGTAAGACAGTGACAACTGCAGATAGCATCGGTCAGAAGCATGGAACCATGGCTGGAACATGGTCCAAATATCACGGAAAGTCACTCATTCAAAATATTTACTGCTGGGAATCACTGTACATCTACCACGGCCGTCTGGTGTTAAACGTATGTCTGCGCCAGTCGCAGCATGAGTGTGGAACCAGTCTGTGACTGGACCAGGTGATCCAGCGCTTTACACGACGACCTGGGAAAGACTAGTCACCTCTCTGACCTCATTGTTTACAAACGTCACGCATATATTTGTGATAAATGAACATGACTCATTGATCATCCTGGTCATATGGACTACAATATCATCAGTTATTGTGTATTTAGTGGTTATTCGTGTTATCAATACGTGAATTATATACCTTTATCACAAGCGTTTAACAACACCTCTCTCACTGCCTCAGTGATTGTTCTCGGAGGACGGAACGTAAGATTAGATAGAAAATACGTTATAAGTAAAATTTTAGGCTTTTAGTGCAATACAGTATCTGTTTAAAGATACGATTAAGAATACATATTTTATATGACTCCCTGTGAGATAAACATGTTATATAACAGTAAAATGTATGTGTTTCTGTCATAACGGCGAAGAAGGAATTATGAATTGTAATAGTATAAATGTAAATTTCAAGTGTTAAAATGAAATATACTGACATAGTTGAAGACATTTATTAATACCACCAACGCTTGAAGATAAATTAAAACGCACATGTTAACTCTAATGTTATCATAATAGGCTGTTGTCTCCTGATTACTCGGTACATAATAGGCTGTTGTCTCCTGATTACTCGGTACATTATAGGCTGTTGTCTCCTGATTACTCGGTACATAATAGGCTGTTGTCTCCTGATTACTCGGTACATAATAGGCTGTTGTCTCCTGATTACTCGGTACATTATAGGCTGTTGTCTCCTGATTACTCGGTACATAATAGGCTGTTGTCTCCTGATTACTCGGTACATAATAGGCTGTTGTCTCATGATTACTCGGTACATAATAGGCTGTTGTCTCATGATTACTCGGTACATAATAGGCTGTTGTCTCATGATTACTCGGTACATTATAGGCTGTTGTCTCCTGATTACTCGGTACATAATAGGCTGTTGTCTCCTGATTACTCGGTACATAATAGGCTGTTGTCTCCTGATTACTCGGTACATTATAGGCTGTTGTCTCCTGATTACTCGGTACATAATAGGCTGTTGTCTCCTGATTACTCGGTACATAATAGGCCACAGGAACAGGTGTTTGTGTCATGCGGTGAAGTTATTGTTTATGTTTTGTGTTTGATGACGTACACCCTATGTAGCGTATCTATGACTCACTGGTTGTAAATAAAACACTCCCAGCATGGAGAAGGTCACGGCAAAAAAATCAATAAAAAAAACATACTGTCACAACCTCGTCACAATGTACCAACTTCGACCCAGAGCAGACTGTAAGTTCCCCTCACAAGATGTGCTCTCTCAACAAATAGACACATGCTTGTATCATCGGAGATATTGATGAATATTACATAGTGGAACTTCAAGTGATTTAGTGGCATATCGAAGGTTTAAGCTATATAAACATGGGTTTGTGATTAATGCATAGGTATCGATCCTGGCTCTGACATGATATGGCTGATTGAACTGGTCGATAGTGTTAAAGGTCACTCCGGGCTAAGGGTTTCCTGCCGACTGCTGGTAAGGGTTGGGTGTTTATTAGGTGTCAGTTTCAAGTGTACTTGACGTAACAAAGGAACACGGGGACAGTTGTTACACGACGTGAGTATTATCTCAATTAGTTGTCCTTAAGATAGCAGATGATGAGATCAAGGTCTGTTTATAATGGGTAGCGTTGATCCTGGATTGGGATATTGTGTTGATGAGGACAGGGGCTTTCATCAGGCATTGTTTATTAAATATACATGCATGACGTCACAGTGGAATGATATCATATGGCACCGTTATATGTCATCAAGATGTTGTTTATCAAGGATACCGGTCCGCGTGACACGTGATGCAATCATTACGTAACCCACACAAGCCTGCACGGACATTTTCAATCATGTGCTGCTATTCCGCTATGTAATAAATCAATTATTTTTTCTCTCAGACCACGTGGTTCTGGTATTCCGTGTGAACGATTCTGAGGGTTCATTTCATCATGGCGAACATGTATATATTCCAGTGAGTGAATTACATATATGGCAAGGTTGCATACAGTGGATTTTATGTTAATCGTGCCTACCTGATCACTGGTGTTTGTTCCTCGTTTCGGGGCGTTTAATGCTGATTTAATTCCAACAGAATCCTTGTCAATTTTGGCGACGTGTTTGGGAACGTGAGCGTTACAATAAACATCAGGCTGGTTCTCCTGATCCCAGTGAAACGTCCGTAACGTCAGCTGCAGTCCACATACACGACAACGGAAGCATCGACGATGGAAAAGCACCCCAACATCCACCCTCTCAACTGGGTACACTCGCTTCTCACACCTATAGCACGGGTCCAGGGGTTGGCGGGGGTGCTCCGCGTCTGAATCCCCATCACTGGACTGTGGGTCGTCCATCCTCCCCAGGCATTGCTTACGCGTGCATGTTTTCAACAGTCTTGGAACCGCCGACTCACCAGTGACTCATACGGCGCGTTTCATCTTTCAGGTAAAATCAGGTACAAAATCCAGGTAAAGATGCTGACTGCAAAGCCAAATCCAATTAAGAATCCACGAATAAATCCGTTCGGCTTCGGGGATATGAAGCTATTTCTCCCTCGTCAATTCCCCTGTTCTGTCTATCATGTTAAAAACGCGGTATTGCCATCCGGTTACCTGTAAGCACGTGACCTCGGTGGAAGAATACCCAGGTATCTATTACCGGCAGGGCAGTGTGACCACGTATACTCGAACACAAAGGGGCGTGTGTCTCTTACCGCTCTACGACCATTCTACATCCACAGTCTAGCGAGCATGTGCTGTTCTGAAGCCTATCTCGTACTCAACACTGACATGCGCTGCGAGTATTGATCACAACCCGCTCATTGGCTGAGCAACGCAATGAATGAGAAACCATTATACCCAGTCCGATGGCAGCGCGCGACAGTGCTTGTTTAAATTGACCCAACTTGTTCTGACGAACGAAACAAACTCACTCATTGTTGAAAATGAAAATTAAATATGAATATGCAGCGTCTATGAAAAAATCGATGTGACTACCCCGTCACGTCAGGCTCTTTATTTCCAGCTGTCAATCATCCGCGCGTGCGTTCGTGCGAGGCGACACCTGGGCCGTTTTTTCCCTCAAGGGGGATTATCCAAATGAATCCTGTAGCGTTTTTACCTTCACCTTCCCCTTAATCTCATATTCAAATTTGTCAAGGTAGATTTTAAACCCATAAAGCAAATTCGTTGCGGATACAGCGAGCACATGAACGTTGGTTTATGGTTCAAAAGCAAGCAAGTAAAGACACTCTTGATGGTGTATTCTCCCGATCACATCAGTGCTAATGAACGCTAACAACGGGGGGTTATAAAGCTATAACTCACTGGGATAATTTATGAGCTTTTATCACCAAAAAAACCATGATGATAAGGATACATTACAGATGTTGAAATATATTACTTGATAAACAAATGTTACATTGAACACAGCTGTTGTTTTATTGTTTCTTTGTCTTATCAACATGCTCTCTCTAATCTTGCAGTCGTTGTGTTTGTAAAGGTATCGGTTTAAATATTCACCACTTAAAAACGATATCGTCATGGAATACTCTCCTTTGTACTTTGGGATTCTTCATGACTTGTGTATAGGAAAGTTGGTGATCGCTCTTACATCTAAGCCATGTGTAAATCTTGTTTTATGTAAAGTTTGATTTATTCCAACATTATCTATGTACATGTCCATTGTCATTTTAATTCTGTTTATAGCAGTCACAAACAAAGGTACATAATTTTACAACAGGGCAGCGAGGTACATATCGATCATAAATGGCATTGTTCAAAACGTGATTTTATAGTTTAAAGAAGTTCATTGTTGATGTTGCTGTTTTTTAAATTCTTATTTATTTTTTATATCTTTTTTTATTGTTTCCAATTTTACATCGGTGTATATACAAATACATAAACTGAATAATTAATGCATAACTAAACAAAGATAGTTTTCCAAAAAGGCAGAACTTCGTTGTTAACTAAAGCGCAGGTTCGGCTTTCTCGCATTGAAATACGACATATTTATATATCAGCTGCGTTGTTTTGTTGACATGCATGTAAGATGAAAAATACTCATATAATTTGTGTCAGCAATGGTATTGAAGCACATCGACAATAATTAATTAAGGATATATCATTTTTTATCGAATGGATCATCAATTTTACATTAGTTTAATTGCGAGCCTTATGTTTTGTTAATTTTATCTTTGTCTAGTTCTGTACACATTTAAATCTTTGAGAATACATTAGTTAAAAAATTAAATCAATGACAAAATAATTGATGGAGGTGTATTGTTCTAATTGTATTCAGGACCACGATTCTATTGACATATTCAGTTCTGAGTCATGGTCTAAAACAATGGGACTGAAAGACAAAATGGAGCGATGCGAAACACCCTTGCGTGCGCCATTCCTGGGCAGTACCGAACCACGTGCACTCACTATTGCATTACTCTAATATTAAGCTGGTCGCGCTCCACAGCCCTGGGTACAGAGTTCCGTCATGACGGAGCTACGCAACAAAAAGAGCCCAAAGCGCAAGAGAAAAGATCAATTTTGTAAAGAAACATGTAAACAAGAGTGTTTTATTGCAATTATAACGATACCGTGGTTGAATTAGTAGTCAACATTGTTGAATTACGTTGAATGCTGTTCAGCGAGGCGTGGCCTCGATTATATAGTTTTATTAAATAACGCATCTTTGGCTGGGTAAACGGGGGCGTGGTTTGGTATAAAAGCGCGTGGCCACTCAAGCGTGAGTAAACAGGTGCTGCATGAAAAATATATGTGGGTGGAGGAAGCCACAACAAAGGCTTTGTCCTTGGCAGATTTATGGTATCTGTAATTTAGCCTGTTATGGGGGTGTTTTGTTGAAAAATTTCCATTTGATTTGAAAACTGTTGTTCACTGTTTGCTTGTGTGGCAAACTGCACTATTGAAGAAATATTGATAAACAATTAGTGGCCACGGGGGACGAATTGATGAAATTGCTCAAGTGTTTTTTTATACTAATGCGGCGATTATCGAGTTTGTCACATATTGTATTTAATAAATCTTAATGAATCATGTAATTGCACGTGGCATCAGAATGAATTATTAGCAGAAAGCACGATGCTGTAATACTGTCTGTGACATACTGTAAACGTACTTATCTAATTTACATATGAAAGGACGACCTTGTCTCAGAAATTAATGCCAGGTCAACTATGTGTGATGTCAGTTCAAGCATCTTTGAATATCAAGTGAAGGATCTATAGATCAGCTACAAGCCTGAAGGTTCAAGGATCTTTAGAAAAGCTGAAAAAGCTTTAGGTCGGTTGAAGAGTCTTCAGAACAGCCGAAGAAGCTTTAGGTCGGTTCAAAGACCTTTGGAACAGCTGAAGAAGCTTTAGGTCGGTTGAAGAGTCTTTAGAACAGCCGAAGAAGCTTTAGGTCGTTCAAGGACCTTTGGAACAGCTGAAGAAGCTTTAGGTCAGTTGAATGATCTTTAGCTGAAGAGCCCTTTCGATCAGACAAGTACCTACAGATTGGTTCATCGTTATATATCAGTTAAAGGACACGTGTGCAGGTCGGCCCAAGGATCCTTAGATCAGATACAGAATCTACAGGTCGGTCCAAGGATCCTTAGATCAGATAAAGAATCTGTCGGTTCAAGGATCTTTGAATCAGCTGAAAGACATGTGTGAAGATATATCTATGAAGTCTGGTTTCGATGTGCACAAATGTTCTTGAGGCTTGTGTGAAGACCTACATCCAAAAACAAAAACATAAAATAAATTTATTTTTTAACTACTGAAGTCCCCGGTCGGCTGTAATTCGCAAGTTGTAGCAAGGTACAGAACCACATGCAGGCGCACACACGTCTCTAGCCGACCCCAACACTTGGTTACCCATTCTGGATGAGCATCGCGTTAGTCAAAATCCTTCAAAAAGAGAACACGGGACAGTTAGCTTTCAACAGAGTTCACTGTGCAAGATAAAATCGTAACGATATCGTGAAGACTGCAATTATTTTACGTCCGCTTCGAAGACATCCTCGGGAGCCGCTCCCAGAGAAAGACATGAAAAGTTCGTGATCAGGACGACCAGTTGAAGGACATTTATTCCGTGGAAGCCACGGCGATTGGTAGGTTTGATCGCTGAATTTGTATGCTGGTGATTAAGTGTCTCTCTCTGACACTGTGGGATTGAACACATAGATACAACCTGTATTAATTTATATTTGGCCACTTTCTTAGATGCGAGTTCATCGCTGTGGCCGGGTGAAAACTGAAGACACCAGTGTACGTGTGTTAAGTGAGTGAGTTTAGTTTTACGCCGCTTTCAGCAATATTCCAGCATTATCACGGCGGGGTAAATCAGAAATGGTTACACGCTACCTATGCGGGGAATCACATGCGTGATCAATATACGCAGTACCGCATTTGGAGAAAATGCACCACAGCTTTGCTGAGGACGTTCCCGATATTTGTGACAAGAAGGTGCCAAGTTTATGACGTGTATGACTTCGGGGCTTCCTGCCACGTGAGATGGCACATCATGATATAATTGGAATATGTCATCAGCTGCGTTAGATCAAACTTAGATCCATGTGGCAGGTTTCGTCAGGTGTTAACCAGATCGCCTAGGTGGCTTAGTGGATAGAGCACCTGCCCGTCCAGCGGAATGTCGGGTTCGATCCAAGGTATTGTTATACCAAAGAGAGATATGGATGGTATTTGTTGCACCCTGCCTTGCGCTCGGCATTAAAGGTATAACACCAGGACTTGGCAGCACACTGTATGTAAGTGGGGTAAAACTCTAACACCGGCCAGCGTGAGCATCCACTTATACACGTGGGGCAATTCGCAATATAATCTTGACCCGGAAATTAATCTCACGTCAGATCTCATGTGTTTAACAGTGCATATAAACTGGGGTTGTACAAGAAACATACAGACTCAAAACTGTTCAAAAGCGGTATTTATTCAGAAACATTCCAGAATGAGGAAGTAAAGCTCGTGTCTTTCCGTACACGTTCCTCCCGGACTTCACCGAATGGATTACATGGTACTATTCACGAGATATATTACACTCAGCGTCGTGATTCCGACTGCTGACACAGTTTGGCAAGCCATATATGCATGAAACATGAGACGAATAGTGTCGTATGACACAGACAGACGCGTTTGACAAGCACCTATATTGGATATAGAATAACTGGGTCACAGCGCACTAACAAGCGGAAATAAATAACAACATAACCTGCTTCGGGTAGCACACAAAATCAAGAATTTGAAAAATGTAATAATGTATTGAAATGGATGAATGATTTTATATATCATACGTTATGACGACCAATGAGTTGGCTATGGTGATGACAAGGCTGCGCATGCGTACATTTCAGTAGTTTATTGCACAATCAACTCCTCAGATGATACAGCACACGGTGAAATAAGCATCACAATATACCAAAATTAAATATTGAACAGTATTAAAACGTTTATCACATTGATCAAAACGTTTATCACATTGATCAAAACGTTTATCACATTGATCAAAACGTTTATCACATTGATCAAAAACAGTGTCATAGTTAACACCTTCTGTGAAGAGGATGGTTATTTGAAATCACTGTAATTCTGGTTTTAAATAATTAAACAGACGAGAAAACACGTCCTCTATATATCTAAAATTCTTAAAGAAAATACATGTATATACAATTCATATATCGAGTAATCAAATAGCACAGTGTTATTGCAGCACTTATTATGTTGATGTGCAACTTGATGATCTCCATTTTACATCAAGTCATGTTATATTATCTACGTTGGCCCTTTGATTAAAATAGGAAAATATCTTCTTCATACTGCTGTCATTAGCACTTTCACTACAGCATGAAACATAGCAGATTTATAATGCTGAATTTCTGCCGATGTATATTTAAATATGTTTGGAATGTAAACATTCTTTCGTAAAAATCACCCCTAAAAATAAAAATAATCCAAAACACTATTTTTCAACGCAGATGTGCCAAAAGAAACCTGTTTTTGCTTGCATCAATATGAAGTGTTCAGAACAATGAATTTCCATCGCCACTCTTGAAATGTGTATTGCTGGTTAAAGGAATGACATTATCTATAAGTGTTTAAGGTGTGGGCGTGATAGGTATCACTCACTGTTCAAGGGCCCGCTCCACGAGCCCCACCCCCAGCCAAACGTTCCCCACCCCCAGCCAAACCTTCCCATTCCCATCCTAAGTGATATTAGATGTCTGGACATCCGTTGTCATGACTCTGCTCTGCGCGGGCACTCAACTCTTCAAATCTCAGTCTCAATCTCATCTACAAGCTCATACTCCAATAACTGAGAAAACAGGCTCTGGTCCCTTCCGGCTTGGAAACGCGCATATATTTTAGCACTTCCGGTACTGTTTCCGGTATTGACGTTGGTCTCCCAGGTGAATCCTAACTTCCGCTTCATATGATGCCAGATGTCCCCTATCACGAGGAACACCTCCACGGCCTGGGGGACATCGAGTCGGAAGGTGTATCGCTTGTCCGTCATTAGATCCCCTCCCACAGGCTCATACAAGGTACAGCGCTGCCATTTTGGAAACGTCTTCGGGAAGGCGTTCCCAGATGGACTGGGTTCCTGGCAGATGACGAGATAGCGATATGCGCAGTCAAGACTGGTTTTGTCTCCTGTTGGATCTGCGCAAAAGAGTGAGAAGATGTAGAATCCTTCTTTCGGACACCTCACTAAGTAGGTCGCCCCTGTGTCGTTCCGCGAGCGGAGGAATACATGTCTGTCAATGTCCTGCACGGATTCGTCAGCGACGTCGAAATATTGAAATGTATGAGTCACTTTCGTGTCATTCTCCATTTTGAAGTTGATTTCTAAGTAGTCACTATTACACACTATCAGTGGATCGACGTTCTCCGTGCTCATTCCCAGTTTCTCCATGATGGGCGTGGCCCCGAAAAACGGCACAGGGGGATATGGAGGAGAGGGCGGTCCGGACATCTCCGAACAGCTGATGAGGAAGGAACAAGCACTTTCGAGACATTCCGAATGCCAGAAATCTCCAGTAAAGATGGAGAAATAATATAACCCCGGTCGCGGGAGGGCAACTGTAAATATGGCTTCGTTTTTGACGAAGCGCAGCAACGTCCTTCCGTCCAGACTCCGGGAGTCCCCTGACGATTTGTTCACAGGCTCCAACATGGAACCAAATCCAAGAATCTTTGGCATCACTAGTCTTACTTCGATCATTCCCGTCTCTGTCGACAGGGTGGCACCATAATTGGAATAAAACTTCAGTCCATAGTTGAAAAAAGGTGATTTCACCACTGGAAGGTTGATGAATTCGGAAAACGGAAGTGGGATTTCTAGAAGTTGCCATGCGGGGTCGTCTGGGTAATGTTGGTAGATGTAGTCTTCCGGGTCTGTCAGGAAGTAGAACTCGTCGTATTTGTGGAACAGCTGAGGGAGGTCGTCCATGTGACCTGACACGTGACGTGCCGCCCACGTGCAGTTGACGAATCGCCAGCTCCCGTCAATGCACACAGCTGTCCACGAGTTCCGGAAGGTTGTGCCCTCAATGCGCATGCCCGGTTTGTAACCAGCTCCTTTTGAGTATCCAAGAATAATTTCGCAATGGAGACCGGCGTATCTGAAATAAAGAGTTTTCTTTCAGAAAAGAAATTACCTTCATGTATGACTGTGACGAATAAACGCTATATTTGTAAGTAAGGAAGTGAACTATGATTATTTAATGCAAAGGAACAATAATCTCAAAACAATGTACTCTGTAGTGTAAAAAAGGCCATCACACCATTAACACAAAACGTATTTACATAATATATATTTGATTGTACGATATATTTGTAGAGTTACAGTACCCAATATCTGAGATTAAAGGTATCATATACATATGTACATATATTTGAAAACAATGTAACAGTGACGGAATAATTTATGATCCTTATGTCAGTGTAGAAACGTTCCAATAACGCTTGATCTTTATCCTAATAGCAATATGTTTAGAAACGACATCAAGGTGCGTGTGCGTGCACGTGTTTTTCTTTTATAGAGTATGCACACCGGGTTTACACAAAGCGTTCACACAGTATCAACAATCAACACAGTATCAACATCATTGAGGTCAACGCTTATATATATATACGTCAACAATAGCATCACATATTGTTTATCATTATATGTTTATCATTATATGTTTATCATTATCATAACAAAGGGCAGTGATGCCACACAAGCTCCTCCTAAGTAGTGTATTGAAACTCAGATTCGGGGAAAGTCTGTGTGACCAATAACATGCTGCGGAAAGACTTGTCATTTATGTAGTTAAACTTGAAAACAACTTACGTGCAGAGCCGCTTAAAGAGCTGATGGTAGGTCTCCTTGCCTGACTTAACTCCCTTGAGTAGCGTGATGGCGGAGGCCGAGGGGCGGATTATGTCATTGACGGTGTTCTTGTTCAGATCCTTGGCGATCACCCAGCGGAACAAAACCCTGGAAAGGAAACATAATATATCAATAAATATATAGATATAAACACGTATTTGCAATTTTCCATCTTTTTAGGAGATTACAATTTCATGGATATAGAAAATACCCATAGAAAAATAAACCACTACTCCGACATCATTATCCAACAATATATATTAAGTTGATTGGGGACTTTTGTGACTATTTGTATTCCGGGACAAGCAGAATGTTTACGGAAGGGATCGAGTGGTGCTGAATGGATTGTTGGGAGTCACAAACACGTGACAGCCTTGGTGTTGAACGTCAAGGAAACGATTTGTGAATGTAGCGGGATGTACACCATTTGGGTTATATGGCTACTATTATGCTTACGGAACTTACCGGACTTTCTCGAGCTCCGACTTGCAGTCTCGTGTAAGATCTCTCACGAGATCTGTGTAAGTCGAATACTCTCTGCTTACAAGCTGAAAATATTTTTTTCTTAGTAAACAGTAAAATCGGAAAAAATGGTTTAAAAATAAATCAGTAAAACAATTTAAAAATGCTACAATATGATTCTCAATTTGGTAGACTTGAAATACATGTTATTCATGTCGGTATTTTCACAAGATATATTTTGAATTACCCTCTTTTCTCAAACATTTGTGTTATCAGGGAGTTTCATGCGACTGTAGAGCCTACCTGCACAGCCTTCCTGTCCAGCTGTTCAAACCGGGCAGGTGTCTTGTACAGGTGGGCTTTCTTGGTCTCCGGGGGCTCCAGCGGGGGTCTCATGGAATGGTCGTACAGCACACTCCGGTCTGCCTCTCGGTCCTGGGGAGAAAATATATACTGACTGAAGCGGCGGTAAAGTACCTGATGACCTTTTGTGTGTGTTGGGAATCGAAATTTCCTTCCCAGTTTGTTCGTTTGGTTCTTTAGGGGCCTAGTGGTTAAAGCTTTGGCTCGTCACGCTGAAGACACGGGTTCGATTCCTACATGGGTACAATGTGTGAAGCCCATTTCTGATGTTCCCCGCCGTGATATTGTTTGAATATTGATAATGGCGGCGTGGATCCTCCGATAGTTGAGTGAAACATTTATCTTACATCGATGTCTAATTCGCGTGTTTTGTAATTCAAATTATGGTCAGGGACACCAAGAATGACATTGCACATACTACGGAGACGAACCGGTTCCCTGGGTGGCAAGCAAAACACCTTAACCACTGCACGAATGTAGCATCAGTTAGTTACAGTTGTGTCTCGGGACTAAATTTTTCGCATTCGTTACCGAGGCCTGAATTTCAACAAATACAGACGCGGACAAACGAGGACAAAAACCGCGATTCCTGTCTGGCACACCGCTTTATTTAACCAGAAACGAGAATCAGCTCCGCAGCTAAAGCTGTATTGTGGAAGGGGACACTTGTCTGTTTGATCACGTTTACGTTTTTTACAAAAAACACTTTTATACTGAGGTCAAGGAATATATTTAAACTGAATGGATAATTAAATAAATGAAAAATTCTTATGTTAAAAGACAGGTGTCATAATCATCATCACATACCAGTTCCCCTCCAAGTTCCCTCAACAGGGACTTGAATGTATGCATAACTTTCCTCCGCCGACTTGGAAACGTCTTAAAACTCGACCCAAGTCTCTGACGGATAGGCATGTTTACAGTTGGGCAGATAGTTGTATAATGTTTTCAAACACATCGATTCCACTTTATAGCCAAAGTAAGAAGAACCCGTAATTAAATTGCCATTGCACTTAACCTGTCTTTAATTATCTCGATTGGCCGCCATTGTTCTCGCAGGGACGAGATTACACACGTGATTACAATTAACAGGTCATTGATAACATAATGTAATTTCCCCGCGGTTGCTAGTCATTAAAACAACGACATTTTGGTTTTTTTCGGCTTAATGAAAAGTTCACGGGGGGATGTGGAGCGAGTTGACACCGTGTTGCTAATTCCTGCGCGTTGATTGCCGATTGACGTGAAGAAAATTAGTGTTCACGTGGCCCGTGTAATGAGCTGTGATGGTGAGCGTCTGCTGCGATAGCTGACCAGCACACAAAGCGAGATAAAGTGTGTGTATGTAAGACGTTCTGATTGTAATTACGGCCGCTGTGACACGATGTGTGGCAGTTTGTATACAGAAGGTGTATACACGCGCGCTGTACGTCACATGACATGGCCTATGCTTGTGGGGGATTTAGTTAAATACCTTCCAGTGCAAATAGCTACGAAGTAAGTGAGTTTAGTTTTACGCCGCTATTTAGGCAACTACGACGACTGGGAGGACAGAATAATTCTGGATTGTAACGTTAGGTAAGTTTCGTCTCTTTCATTCCGCGAAGTAAATGTTTTTGAGCACCGAAGTTGCCTGAGCGTGTTTTGTGGTCTAAAATACCATGGAATACATTTTTCGAGTTCCATGACAATACCGTCTCCAGCAAGGGTGCGGTAGTCATCTCCAGTGGGTATGGTACAGGTCGCTATAGACTCTTATACATTATACAGCATATATACATGAAGATGTAATTTTAAAAGTCCTGTTTCGGACTTGACTGTGTGAGAAAGGTTTTTACGTAGCGCTTGACCATATTCCAGTCACATTACTGACCGTCTGAGTTTTGTTTTACGCCGCTTTTAGCAATATTCCAGCAATATCACGATGGGGGACACCAGAAATGGGCTTCACAGTTATTGTACTCTTGTGGAGATTCGAACCCGGGTCTTCGGCGAGACGAGCCAACGCTTTAACCACTAGGCTACCCCACCGCCCCTCCAGCCACATTAGGTAAGGTCGGGGTGGGGTCGGAAGTAGGGGTGTCGCGATACGCGAATGTATCGATACATCGATACATTTTTACTGACGATACGATACGCGATACATGCTTGCGTGTATCGATTCCTATTTTAAAACTTTATCGATTCAAATTTTTATGCTATATCCATCTCCGTCAAAGTCTTGATAGTAAAATTATACCAGACCACTCCGATAAATAGATGTAGTTAGCTTTACTTAAAAAATAGGTTGGAAACTAACAGCTTTTGTGATTGGCTAGACTATTTTGATGGACCAGTCAGCGAACGTGTACGTTGCCGGTAAGGTAATGCTATGAAAAGGCGCGATAATTATGTATCGCGATACGTATCGTATCGTGACCTTAAAATCGTGATACGTATCGTATCGTGAAATTGGTGTATCGTGACACCCCTAGTCGGAAGCGTCACATTGTGCACACCATTGGTAGCCAACACGGCCTAAAAGCCATATTATTTCAAGCAGAATTTAGTTTGAAAAGGGGTCGAGTTAAGGAGTGCCATTATATTTGGCCTTAACAAGTCGTGTTTTTTATAATATAAGTGGTGTGTGTTTTATAATATAAGTGGTGACACCTCCAGCGCTGGTTGTGCAAGACGATCGCTGAGGTTACTCAGCCACAAAGGCAGCTTTCTGTATGAGTGAGTGAGTTCAGTTTTACGCCGCTTTTTGCAGTATTCCAGCATTATAACGGCGGGGGACACCAAATCAGCTGTCCGAGACGACCCCTCTTCGCTCACTCATCAACTGGATTCGGGTACATCAGAGACCATATAATAGAATCTATTATATGGTCTCTGGGTACATCGATCTGTACCACTAGTAACCCAATCAAATAATCCCTCAATTGTACCCCATTGTGGGTGCAAGAGCCATGTTGGACACAGGCGACCTGGTGTATAACACATTCACAATATATTGGCTTCTTAGTCCGATCATAGTCTTTTAAAAATATGAGATATTTTTGTCTGAATGTTTTTCTCAGTCACGCCAATAATTTGGAAAACTCGATGCAGATTGGCTGGTTATACCGTTCACGTGACGAGATCTACAAACAAACTATTGTGACGTCACATACCTTTTCACCAATCAGCGTCATCATTTCATGGCAGTGTCTCTCCAACATCTTGGTGGTGCGGGTCTTTTCCTCCGTCCCCATCTTGTCCTGCATCTGCTTGAAGCGGTCGTCCCTGACGGTCTTGAAGTGATCCTCTATTCTGTCCCGCTCCCCCAACAGACTGCGCGTGCTGCCGTGAGCACGCACCTGGTCAATGTTGGCTAGAAGCTCCTCAGCAGCTCGTTCCTTCTCCACGCCAATGCTGTCGTCAAGCCGTTTCATCTCTTTCTCTCTCTCCTCCAGGAGGAACCGCTGAAGACGCTCTTCCTCCTCCTTGTGGCGAGCCTCCAGGAATGACTGGGCTTCGAACACGTTGCTGTTCTCAAAGTCCTACAACAACATAGCAAACTGGTTGAAGTTCCTATGTAAGATGGAGACCCCTCCACACACCACCTTGAGAACATGGCGCCCTCTACTGGCAGAGATGTTTGTCTGTATCTTAGTGGGTTGGGAGCGAAGATTGTTGTACACCTCAGTAAGCAATATCCCAGCCATGCAACGTTGTCATGTAAAGAACTGGACCTGGTCAAGCCAAGCATTGGTGGGCAGAGCCCCACCCAGTCAGTTTGTTTGTGTTTGTTTAACGCTACACGAGACACCAATGTTCCAGCTATATGGCAGCGATTTATAGATAACAGAATCTGGACAACGCAATACTGTCATTGCCATCAGCATCGATCTAAGCATTTGGGATACGATGACATGCATCAACCAAACTCAGCGAGCCTGACCACCCAATCCTGTTAGTTCTTCAAACGTAATCGCACCTTACCAAACACATCGGATGCTAAAAGCGGATCAACGTTGACAGGAAATCCCCATCGCTACCCACCCAGGCCACCGACCAATGTATCCTCGAACAGGCATGGGGTTCAGATGGCTAACCAATATTGCTTTTATAGTGGAACTAAGTTCTATTCAGCGAAGTTGGTGACACAAAGTTTAGGCTTCCAACCCTGTTTGGTCAGCGGGACTCAAGGGTCACCGTAGACGTCATTCGGAACTGATGGCAGTGTGGTACATAGGAAGCGCAGATTCCACATGTAAAAGATAATGGCGTACATATATTCAAGCGACAAAACCCTTTCCACGACCACTGTAATTCCTTCATAATATTATTTTTTTCGATAATCTTTTGTTTGTTTATATCTTGTTTTACGCCGCACTCAGCAATATCCCAGCTATATGGCGACGGTCTGTAAACATTCGAGTCTGAACCAGACAATCCTGTGATCAACAGAACAAGCATCGATCTAGGTAATTTGTATACGATGACAAGTGTGTAAACCAAGTCAGCGAGCCTCTTACGACAAGCATGGGTTATTGAAAACCAATTTTAACATGGATCTTCAATGGTAAATAATATTTTCAGTAACTTAACATTTGTTTCAAAGAACATTTGGAATCATGCGTATCGATTCAGGGTGAAAAATCAGATGTTTCTCGGGAACCAGGAGTTCGAATCTGCTAAGTTGGTATGAGTAGTCCACATCTTTGAAAAACGTTTGATTAACACACGGTGATTGAACTATTCGAGTTAGGTCACTATACGGATATGGTCACTTACTCATAGCTTTGCAGCACTGGTTTTGGGTGTGAGAAACTCCTCATATCATACGAGGTTCCTAAGCTGTGGTCTGCGCTGTGCGGATTGTACGTTGTCCAGGGGCTCGCCATACTGGACTGATCGTGCATGCTTCGCGGAGTGACGCTGGTCATGCTGGACCCCGGGCTGTGGCCGTGGTTGATGGAGGTGTTGGGGGAGTGGCGTGGTGATGGGCGTGGTGATGTGCGTGGTGATGGGCGGGGACTGGAGCGACCGGAAGTCAGACCCGGCCGTGTAGCGCCATCGACCTGAAAATGTTCATAAATCAATCAATAATCGTATGTTAAGATGCTAAAATATTCCCGTTGAATGAACTACTATGTATATTCTTGTCATCAAAGTGGATGTATGAGTGCTGTTGTTTCAGTGTTGAAAAAATGAACATAATGTAGGAGGCATACTAAACACTAAAATAAAATAAAATAAAATACTGACACAACAGGATTACGTGAGGAGAGAATACATTGAACTGCCTGTCCGTGTCCCAGAGTGTGGTGATATCCGCTCACTCAGCTGAAGTCGGAGACAGGACGTCATCCGATACCGCAGTGAATCTAAATCTCACAGACCAACCCACAAGATCTTGACCCACAACATGTAGTCTGGCCACCCATGCGCGTGCATACTGATACCTGTGACCGGCAATAATACGTCATGCCTCGGGCCGACAATGTTACGTCATGCCCGTGCAGACAATGATACGTCATGCCCGTGCAGACAATGATACGTCATGCCTCGGGTCGACAATGATACGTCATGCCTCGCGTCGACAATGATACATCATGCCTCGCGCCGACAATGATACATCATGCCTAGTGTAGACAATAATCGTCATGCCTGATACATGTTACTAGGGTCGACAATGATACATCATGCCTCGGGTCGACAATGATACGTCATGCCTTGGGCCGACAATGATACATCATGCCTCGGGTCGACAATGATACATCCTGCCTCGCGTCGACAATGATACGTCATGCCCCGGGTCGACAATGATACATCATGCCTAGGGTCGACAATGATACATCATGCCTCGCGCCGACAATGATACATCATGCCTAGGGTCGACAATGATACATCATGCCTAGGGTCGACAATGATCATTGGGCCACAATGATACATCATGCCTCGGGTCGACAATGATACATCCTGCCTCGCGTCGACAATGATACGTCATGCCCCGGGTCGACAATGATACATCATGCCTAGGGTCGACAATGATACATCATGCCTCGCGTCGACAATGATACGTCATGCCTCGGGCCCATAATGTTACATCATGCCCGTGCAGACAATGATACGTCATGCCTTGGGTCGACAATGATACGTCATGCCTAGGGTCGGCAATGATACATCCTGCCTCGCGTCGACAATGATACGTCATGCCTCGGGCCCATAATGTTACATCATGCCCGTGCAGACAATGATACGTCATGCCTCGGGTCGACAATGATACGTCATGCCTCGGGTCGGCAATGATACGTCATGCCTCGGGTCGACAATGATACGTCATGCCTCGGGTCGGCAATGATACGTCATGCTTCGGGTCGACAATGTTACATCATGCCCGTGCAGACAATGATACGTCATGCCTTGGGTCGACAATGATACGTCATGCCTAGGGTCGGCAATGATACATCATGCCTCGCGTCGACAATGATACATCATGCCTCGGGCCCACAATGTTACATCATGCCCGTGCAGACAATGATACGTCATGACTCGGGTCGACAATGATACGTCATGCCTCGGGTCGGCAATGATACGTCATGCCTCGGGCCCACAATGTTACATCATGCCCGTGCAGACAATGATACGTCATGCCTCGGGTCGGCAATGATACATCATGCCTCGCGTCGACAATGATACGTCATGCCTCGGGCCCACAATGATACATCATGCCCGTGCAGACAATGTTACGTCATGCCTCGTGCAGACAATGCAGTCATGTCTGAGGCCGACTATGATTCCAAGGTACATACCCAGGTGCAGTCAGTTTAACATGGAATGGTTTGTCCTCGTCTTATACCCTAAATGTCGGGTACCAGGCAGGGCAACATCAAGTTCAGTCCTACACAGTCTGTTAGTATGCCTTGGCCAGGGGATCAAGATCCAGCTATTTCTTTACATTATGGAAGCGGTAAAAACAGAGGTCATTAACACGCATCCATCAAACATCCTCAGTTTAGATGACACCTGTCGTGTTTGTTATAGAAAGGTTTCAGTGACCCACGCACGAGCAATACTGACCACATTTACGAGTATTCTACCTTAATAATGTATGTCCAAATCTTGCCGGACATCGCTGTCACCCTTCCGTATGCCAAGACGTATCGACGCACCCTCGGACAACTGGAGGCTTGTCCCACGACCAAACACCCCCCGAGTGCATTCCCATACAGTGTTGACATGGGACAGTGTTTAATTTGCTACTTTCAACATGTTAATTGATCGACAAATAACGAAGTGCCCACGGCAGGTGGAAGTAGCTGATGTTGCTGTAGATGCTGTAGACGGCTGTCAGGGTCTGCATTGCACGTGTAAATGTGAAGCATGTTTCAGGTTTGTCCTTCTAGTGAAATACCACGCACCTGTAGAAGGAACCATTCGTACTGGATGATTAAAGGTCTAATTACACCTCATTTCACAGAGTGAGTGAGTGAGTGAGTTTAGTTTTACGCCACATTCAGCAATATTCCAGCTATATGGTGGCGGTCTGTAAATAATCGAGTCTGGACCAGACAATCCAGTGATCAACAGCATGAGCATCGATCTGCGCAATTGGGAACCGATGACATGTGTCAACCAAGTCAGCGAAACTGACCACCCGATCCCGTTAGTCGCCTCTTACGACAAGATAGCCGCCTTTTTATGGCATGCACATGGGTTGCTGAAGACCTATTCTACCCCGGATCTTCACGGGTCTCATTTCACAGACATGAATATCCTTGAATGTAGTGATCGAGCCCTACCCGGCTTCATAGGGATATTTATTGTTAACATATTTGCAGAGCAATAAGTAGTTGTAACCTACATTGTTAAGCTATAGAAATAGCTCCGTGGTCGAATAATCTTTGACCATGTCCTGTTGCGTAAAGCCATCTTACCGTTACAACTATCTTAGGGGTTATGAGCTTGAGTTGAGTTGGGCTTTACGTCACATTGGCATTATTCCAGCCATATAGTGACGAGATCAAGTATGCATTTATAAACATTTTAAGTACAGGGAGTTGTGATCACCCTCAGTGCTGAGATCATTTTGTGCAACAGGGCTATCATGTGCCAGTTATCATTTCAAAGTAACATCTTCCACTTACAATCGGCCAAACGGTCAAGCTGCTGAATGTATTGAGCTTGCAAGTACCATCACCTGTATGCCGACCAATAATCGATAAAATACCCTCTATAACCGAGGATGGACCGGCAGCCCAGCCAACCGAACACGACCTCGTCACATGTATTACCTCTGTCAATGGTTTACTAGCGACAAGCCTTTAGAGTCATACATGAACTATTATATACAATTCATATTTCAAGTCCATGGTTTGTTACAATAAACATCCCTTGTAAACAAACATGCTGCGCACAGCTCCCTGGCCTTTAGCCGTGACCTTAACCAAGGCCCGTAGATAGCTGGCTTATCAATAGTTAGGGCCCTGTATCGAGTATAGCTAAAAGGACAGTCCGCGTTGTGTTGGATCACGTTACGCAACTTGTGCAGCACAACTACACGGTGGACTGTGTTTAACCATGTATCGAGCTCAGCAGGTTCATGTGGTCTATGATCCTGACGGATGAGCTGCCATGACAGTGGCGAAACATGATTCGTGTTGTTGTTCAATATGGATTGTCTACGACAGTCTGACGACAGATGGACGACCAAGCAGGAGTGAGTGAATGAGTGAGTGAGTTTTGCACAACCTGCTCTGTTATGTAACGGCGGATCAGCTGAAGGAGATGAAGTCGTATACCGTGCCAGACAACGTCCGGGATGACGCAGTACGGCGTGTGGCAAATGTTCGTGGAATGCTCCCCACGTTTTGTTTGTAAACAATAAAGTGTAAGTGCCCCGTTTGTTCAAAATATTCGAAAATATTTTCAAAGAATTAGGTACCATTCCTTCTTTATGACCAGGGGATGGAGGTTGGGGGTTGATGCTAATTGCTATTGAGGAACATGTACAATGTAAATGCACCCACCCCTCCCTCTGCATGCTATGTACAAAATGAAAATCAATGGCAACCCCTAGTATGTGAACAAAATTGATGCCCACCTCTACCTCCCCAGAACACAATGGGTGACCCCCCCCTCTCCATTTTAAAAAATCATCATCACCCACACGTACCCCCTAGCCATAAGTTATGAAGGGTCCCTTAGGACAACGTTAAGGAGTAGATACATACAATATACCCCTTGAATGGAACCAACTCTGCAGGCACTGGATGGTGTGTCTGCTTGTCCTGGAGAGCAACCAGTCATCACATGGAACAAGAGCAGTGACCGAGAAGTAATGAAGTAGGGAAGGTGAACATGAATGTTCCGACGCAGTTTTAAATCTCATGAAAAACACATTCTATTAGGACACAGGGTGTATCCAGGGTTGATATAACCCTTACAGCCGCCCGTGTATCAGCCATAAGTGGTTCAGTTACTCCTACCTAAGTGTGGCTTCATCCTGATCTTCTGCACAACCAACACACGTGGTTTTGTTACAACAAATTGTACGAATTACGATGTATAACTTCTCAAAGAGAACTCACCAGGAACCTTACCAGAAATGCAAAATATAGTCAGAACCTTCCAACAGCTGTGTAAAATCCAGACGTGTTGAGCCAGTTGCATATTGTGAGTGAAACAGGCGTATATTGTTGTTTATCAGAGCATAACTTGTAATTTAGTATAACCAACAACCCTGCCGATATCGACATGCGCGTTAGAAGGTCAGCCCGCTAACATGACACTCGCTAATGAGAAGTACCTAATGTTGAGGATATCCAAAACATGAATCTCTTAGAATATATCAGGCCACAGGAACTAATTGCAAAGGGTTACTTTAAAAAGAAAACTAAACAATTCGCATGATGGCAACAGTGAGGATACGACGTACACACTACGCCTTGTACCATACATAACATGGCACATTAAACACATGGCGCTAAGACTTCTTGGCGAAGCTGACATGATGGTGAATAACAGCTTTAGAAACCATTCATAAGTCTCCGAGAATTTACGGAATAGCGTACCCCAT